TATGAGGAAGAAACCTTGAGAGGAACCAGACTCAAAAGGGAACCCATCCTCATTTGGGTGACACTGGAGAGTGTGATATGAACAATGTCCTTTCTGCATTTATTTATAGTCATGTAGAATTTTATGTGTATATTAATTTGGAGGTTGTTGTCTTCCTCAAAGTCCACATAGGGTTGGCAGCGATGCTTTGAATACCCAAGTCCTCACGAGGCAGAAACCAGCTGGAGCAGGTCCATCTCTGGATGCCTCAGGATCCTCGTAGGGTTGGCCTCTGTCTACTGGAGCTGGGACAATCTCTATGTGCCACGGGATGGGTAGAAGAAGGGAAACAAGAGGAAAGGAATTAGCGTAGCTGCTGTTCATAATATTAGCAAGCACTAAATCATAATGTGCAATTAATCAGATGTACTGAAGTACAAGGTTATGGTATGTATTAAGTGTGTGCCTGGCTAAAGATATATGTCTTTAATCTACGTTTGAACTGGGAGACTGTGTCTGAGCCCCGAACACTGTCAGGAAGGCTATTCTAAAGTTTGGGAGCTAAATACAAAACCGCTCTACCCCCTTTTGTAGACTTTGATATTCTGGGAACTACCAGAAGTCCGGAGTTCTGAGATCTTAAGGAGCATGGTGGATTGTGACGTGTTAGAAGACTGGCTAGATACGTGGGAGCTAAACCATTTAGAGCCTTGTACGTAAGTAGTGCTAGTTTATAATCAATTCTAAACTTAACAGGTAGCCAGTGCAGGGATGATAATATTGGGGTTATGTGATCATTTTTTCTTGACCTAGTAAGAACTCTGGCAGCTGCATTCTGGACTAACTGTAGCGTGTTTATTGAAGATGCAGGACAACCACCTAGCAATGCATTACAATAGTCCAGTCTGGAGGTCATGAATGCATGAATTAGCCTTTCTGCATCAGATACAGATAAAATGTTCCTAAGCTTGGCAATGTTCCTAAGGTGGAAGAAGGCTGTTTTAGTAATATTGGAAATATGATTTTCAAAAGACAAGCTGCTGTCTAATATTACGCCCAGATCTGGATGTCAAAAAAAAGAAAAAGAAAAAAAATGAAACCTCATATCAATGTCTTTTTATAACTGAAAGACAGCTTAGCCCTGCTAGGTCACTGCTGATAGTGTTAGCTAGCGAGGTAGCTTGATCTATTTTGGTATTTGACTTTTTTTGCTTGTTTTTTTTTTCCTTTTGTAAAACATGTACATAATCCAACCAGCATGTAGTAATCATACTTATTCTAATTGTGTCTGTGGTCTAATTCGTAACACTTAAAAGCATGTTGTATTACTTATCATCGTCTACCAGGATGAAAGGATAAAGAGCAATAACAAGTCAGAAACTCTGAAGTCACACTGTTTGACTGTTTGTCTGAAGCACCTGAAGGCAGCATTACATCCATATAAGCAGTACTGCAAATGAAAGTGTGTGTTTGTGCATGTGTATAAGGGATAAAAGGACACTGTAAGACACCGAGAAGTTAGAAAAGTGTATTTAGGCAATCTGACACCTTCTTCAAGATCA